AACTGGATAGCGCGACTAGGTGACGTCTCTACAGCATTTCTACACGCACCCGTCGCACAAGACCACGACGGTAAACAACGTGACGTCTACCTTTGGCCACCTAAAGAACTTTGTCCACAACAAGACAAGATCTGGCGACTAAAGAAAGCCATGTATGGACTACGCAGTTCACCAAAAGCATGGCAGGACTACCTGGCTGAAGTGTTACAAAAGCTCAGCTTTGTAAGACTAAAGTCAGAACCCAACGTCTACACCAATGCGACTCGCGACTGCTACATCATGGTCTACGTGGACGATCTACTAGTACTTGGAGACAAGACTGCGGTCGACTCCACTTTCGAGGCCGTCCAGAAGCAGGTACTACTCAAGCGCATCGGCTACCTCGAACCTGGCAAACCACAACAATTTCTTGGAAGAAACATCGACCACTTCGGCAACTACTGCAACCTTGGACTAAAGGACTCCTACATCGACAACATGATCGAGGAGTCTGGAATGACCAACTGCAACACTGTGACCACTCCAGGAATCGCCCACTACAAACCAACAATAGAAGACGAAGCACTACTTGACCACGAACAACACAAAAGGTACAGAAGGATTGTTGGCAAACTTCAATGGTTTGCACACACACGACCAGACATTGCATACTCCACAAAAGAACTAGCACGAGACCTCGCAGCACCTACAGAACTTTCACAAAAGAGAGTCAAACATTTACTACGCTACTTGCACGGCACCAAGCACTACAAATTCACCATAGAACCAACAACAACACTCAGAGCAAACACCAACAACATCCTGGATCTCGACGTTCATGTCGATGCCGACTGGGCAGGATGCCCTACTACCAGGAAATCAACTTCAGGTTTCAACATCATCTTTTTAGGAACAACAGTTGCATTTGGCAGCAGAACACAAGCTACAATAGCACTCAGCTCAGCAGAGTCTGAACTCTACGCCATTTGCACAGGAGTTAATGAGGGACTACACCTCAGAAACTTCCTACTTGAAACCAACATTTGCAGCAAGCTAAACCTACGCATCCACACAGACTCCACAGCAGGCAAGAGCATTGCTACACGACAAGGCACTAGCAAACGAGCAAAACACATCGACCTCAAATTCCTCTACACACAAGACCTCATCAAGCACGACATCATTAGAATCCTTAAGATCAACACACTCCACAACAGCGCAGATTTGTTTACCAAATACATCAGCAAGGAAACACTACACAGGCTCATCCAGAGCATTGGGATACGCATTTAGCACTACGAACGACCAGCGCAGCAGTTTCACAACAACAACAACAACAACAACGACTTTGGACATTTCTTGTATGTAAGTAGCTACATGTAACACGACACCTTTGGTATGTAAGTAACAGTAACTACATGTACTTTCACTTGCGCTTTGGCGGCTTGAGTCAACACTACAGTTGTTTGTTTTACATGTCTGCATGCGCCGCCTGCCTGGTAGCAACTACTTAGGCTCATTTGTTTTGCCCCGTTTCACTACATTTTGCATTCTACTGCGCTCCATCTACTGCAGATGCTACGATGGGCGATGCGCCTACACCCGACAGGGCGTCTACACCGGAGGTGGCGGTCACTACGGACTCCAGTGACCTCGGAACTCCACCACCTCAAACCTACAACGACTCCGACTACCATTTCAACCATTCTACACCCGGCAACACCCTCTACTACAACCCGACCACAGTGATGGACCAACTACACATCACTGAGCACCAGACAACCGCTACACCACCACTGCCCGGCAACACACCCTACACTCAATTTTTCACTGCATTTACACTTGAAGATTATCAACTACTTTCACAACAACACGCTACTCCACTGGCGCAACTGGACCACACGCGACCCATTCACTGCATCCCTGGAGATCTTCGGATGCCCCACTACGACTCCACACTGCTCAGCGTTTCACTACCTGAAGCAGCCAACGTCCACTACTACCACACGACTTCACTCCACACTACAACTGGCGACAACACCAACTACGTCATCATCCAACTCCAGATTGAACAACCACTACTCCTGAGGTACCTCACTTCAGGACAATTTCTACACTTCACAAGAGACTACATCTCCTACATGATGTCGGTACAACAGAACTACTACCTCCCGACTACAACACTTCCACAGACCATCTACAAGGTGAACTACAACATGACCACCTTCACTGACAACTACAGCCTCAGGAACAACTACGTTTGGAACTACCACATGCCACTACTGCTACCTGAACTACTCCACTACCTTTACAACCGAGACCAACTACACGACTTCCAGCACAAGGCAATTACTACCATCCTCTGCAAAAGCATCCAGTACTACGGATTCACACTACTCACCATGACAAACCTCACACAACACCACAAAGCACTACTACACCGCTTTCTACGGGAGTACGACCAACACATGTCGTGCCCCGAGATAGATGATGAGCGACTACGGGGAGCTCCAAACTACATGACAACCTTTTTCACCACCAACTACTACGCGACCTTGGACAGTCGACTACAGATGGTCCAAGCCTACCGCAGAAATGGGGACTACATTTTTGAGCTCCTGCTCTACTACAACGAGTGCCTGCCTCACTACTTACGTGCAGCGCCCTACATCGAGCTGGAACCTGAACAGCGTGAACTACTGAGCGCAGGTCACTACTTTTGTCACTACAGATTTGATGAACAACAATGGTTTTCATCACTACTGTCAATCCATGTTTTGCACTTCAGTTGAAAAGGTACTACAAAGACCTTTTAACTGAGGGGCCGTGTCAAACTACATGCTTCACTTTGCACTTGTGTTGCATGTATGTTCACTACCGCAGGCCTTGAGCTTACTACTCCGCAAGAGTCAAAAGGTTGGCAGCTGCAGACTACATCGGTTGACTGTTTGTTTGAACACTACAGCACTTGCGCTGGTAAGCAAAGTAACTACCGATTTTAACGGGAGAGAGAGAGAGAGCGAGTCCTCATCCATTGACTCGCCCTTCATTCCCCGCCTTGGCAATGCAAATAGGATGAGATGGAGGATAGGCAGCAAATTGCGCGTTGGGAAACCCATCCAAGCAGCGAACCCATCCTGATGGAACCCCAAGCTTCCGCCAAGTCGGGGCAAGGACACCGAGAAAGGCACAAAATCAATTTGCGGCCCTTGGTCACCTCGAAGGGGGCCCATCGCAAAGTGAAAGGTATTTTACTAGAGGGCCTTGAGGGGCCTTAATCGCTCGATTTTTGCTTTCTCAGGCAAATTCCAGGGGATTAATGTGCAATCAGTCTGCTCCTTGTACTTAGGAAATCAGGTCGGTGGCTGGGGCAAGTTTTGAAACCTCCAGGGCTGCGTCTGCCACGACAACAAACGATCCTTGCATGAAGGACGGTAATTTTTTGTCATGGTTTGCAATCCTTCCCTGCAAGCTTAATGATAACCTTGACGACCAACCCAAGTAACCAGGTGTCAAGTGACCATGGCATTCGTATTCAAAGCATTTGGCAATCTATCTCTCCATAAGTGCCCAAAGAACCAATTGTTTGGCATTTTCTCTTGGAACCCAAGCATGCTAACAAACTGCCGGTCCCACACCTTGCATGCCAGTGGGTGTGGCTCCGGCGATCGATCTTGAACCTGGTAGGAGTCTCGCAACATCAGCAAGCTGAAGGCGTCGCCTGCTGAAAAGCCGCGCTGCAAGCCGGGAACCTTTCAATGCCGCTCATGTTGCGGAGTTGGGCTTGCCAGGAAAACCCTCTATGCAAGCGCTCGGTCGTTGTTTTGCTCACTTTTTTTTGGCGGATCATTTCCTCGAAGACTGTGGGCATGTCCGGTCCGTACCTTTTCCCACATGCAAGCATGTTTGGTAGTCCGGTATGCCTGCTTGGGTATCACTGACAGGAGAGGACAACTCACTGCCTGGTGTGTGGGTGTGTGTGTGTTTCATGGTTCGCAACGCATGCTCAGTAATACATGGCCTCAATGTTGTCTTTTTTGAGGGGGTATGTATTGTTGGCAAGGTGCCGCCATTGGTTTGCTCAGCGCCGTTGCAGCTCTTTCATTGGCGGGCGTTGGCAACGACCAGTTCTAGGTTACCACGGCTTCTTTCACTGTGGCTTCCCTTTAGCCAATGGCTTTCCCTTCCACTGGAAGACACGACCGCGCGCATCTACAATCAGTATACACATGCATGTGTTTCCAAGGGTAAAGGGGGGCATCAAAATACCTGCTTGAGGCAATTGGGCGCCTGCCTCGCCGTAAACGTGAAGATGTCTTTGCCAATCTATATTTGCAATTATTTTCCTGAAAGCCCCGATGGCCGCCACTTTCCGGTCATTTTTAGCCCCAGCGTGGCAGGAGGCGGTCCAGTGGGCCAGAAGCTGCGGAACATTTCAGCCGCTGAAGCCGAAGGACAGTGTAATTTTAGACCTCCTTTTGATGAGTGGCCTGGCTCAAGTTGATCCTCAAGGATTTGTTGACCGTTGATGCTGTTCTGGGAAAGGTGCATATTAAGGGTTGTCCTTAACAACAAAGAACAATCATCAATGAGCAAAGCCCGCGGCAGGCAAGTATGATACTCCCATAGGTGCAAGTCGATGCGTTTGCATCTGAGTCGTCTCCTCCATGCTGATTCGTTTTTTTTCTTCAAGTCGGTGCGTCTTGCGTCTCCGGTGGCGTTAGTAAGTATATAGGGCAGATCTTGCATTTTCATGTTTCATGCAGATTTGGAAACACCAAATTTGTGAAGCGGCCGTATGCCGTTGTGTTTTGTCTTGACGGATGACGGAGGCTTGTCAGATTTGAGGGCTCGTGTTGCCTGATGGCTCGAAACAGTGCTTTTCACGCACATGGCAAAGTATATAGTATAATGTAGCGCCCAAAGTACACTTTGGCAGCTTGAAAGTCGCAACTTTTCAGTACAGGTCTAGTACACGAAGTACACTTTGGCAGCTTCAGCTGGTCTCTAACAGTTCCAAAAAGCAAAGCCGTGCGGCTGGGCATCCCATGGTGTTTGGGTGTGTGTTGCACTGACTTCTTTGACTTCCTGAATGCGCTGCGTCCCATGCGGCTTGCTTTGCCGGAACCTGTTTGCACTGACTTGCACCTTTGAGAGTAGCTTGATCCACCTGATCTGCTGGATGTTTTTGCGTGGGAATTATGTGGATGGGCGTGCCTTGTTGTTTGGGCTTGCCTCGAAGTTCATGGAAAACAAGAGGAGCGGCAAAGTCGATGTAGGTGCATTTTGGTGTTCGATTAGGGTTTCAGTCAAAGGATCTCCCCAAACTGGGGTCCAATGCCTCTTGGTGTTGTATGTCATCCCTTGAATCGTGAGGTGTTAGGATGATCGCTTGGTGCTTCCAGGCAATTTCGCTTGAAAAACGGGTCTGTGTAAGCTTAGTCGCGAGGGCAGAGCTGCTCAGCTGCTCGAAGAGGCCGGGGCTAGGGTTGGAGCAGAGGGTAAGGGGCAGTAGCAAAATTCAATGGCAGTTCTATCTTGGAATCAGTGATTGCCGCCAAAACCCTGCTCTTGCGACGGACTGCAGGGCGGTGAGATTTGACTTAGGTTTCATCACTTGGGGCAGCTTGATTTGTTCAAGCGTGTGTTTTGCCATTGTGGGTCCATTGGCTGGTCAGTTAAGAGGCTTGCATGTTGTTTTATGTGCAACGACATGTTTCTCTTGGATCCACTTTAGCTCTGCTGAAAGCACAACCAAATAACAACTAGCCAAACCACCAACCAACCCAACCAACCAACTTATCGACCAATCAACCCAAGCAAGCAAGCAAGCAAGCAAGCAACCAGACAGTTGCACCAGTCTGGGCACAACCTCAGTTGGGAAAGTCTTCTGGTGGAGTCTTCTCGCAGGATGAATGTTGATTTCAAACACAGTCTGACCCTTCCAATGCGCTTGCTCGAGAGCATGTGCATTTTCTGATTTTAGGAATTTGCCAGTCAAGTCCTCAAGAGGGACCCGGCAGTCCGAGCGCTCAGGGGTGAACAGTGCTCTCCGTGGTCTCTTGTGCAACCTGGTCACAGTGTTGTTAACAAGATCCAGTTTCCATTCATCAGTGTGGTAGTATTTTGGCTTCAGGGCCGATACCAGTTCTTCGATCTTTTGCAGTGGGTTACCATCGCCACTCGATGTCAGTGGCAAGGTGGAAGCAACGGAGAACTCCAACCCCTTTGTGTGCTCAACGTACAGTTGGTCAACATCATGCTCGTAAGGGTCCTACTTGACCAGTTGCGGGGTAAGGTACAGCAGTGTACCATACCTCGTCACCGGAAGTGTCTCTCCTATTGGAGTGACAAGGTTCATGCATTCTTTGCCGAGAAGCAGAACGGAACATCAGTAACATAGCAGTTGACGAACAGCTGCGGTCCGCCAAAATCGTACATGATCAGCTTCCGTCCTATTTTTTCAGTGGTTTGCCTGTAATGCTTTGTGCAGGTGGGTTTGAATCAACCGGTAACAGTGGATACTCTGGTGCGTAGTCCAGTGGGCAACAGTGTGCCGCAGCGCCTGAGTCAAACAAGATCCAGTGACAGTCAGAGTCTCAATGCAGACAAGGCAGGTCGTTCGGGTTTACGCCTTTCGAATCATTCAGTGGACAACACCAGTTGTTCATGGAAGGATCAGTGGTCAAACCTTCACTCCTCACGAACAAGCTGATCAGTGAGATCAGACCACAGACCAGTCCAAGTGTTCCAGGCCACTGGCTTCGCGGTGCTGTGCGAACACTGGTGTCAGTTTGGTATTGAGGCAGTGGATTCTCTAAGTCCGGGACAGCTCCTACGTGTGCAGTGCCGCTTGGCACTGTGGCAGGCTGAGCTCCAGGCATCTAAGTTCCAGTACCTATGGGCTCCGGCCCGGACCGGCCCAAAACATAGGCATTCTTACCAGACTGCTGGAATACCGCTTCAGAACTTACCACTTGAAGACTGGGACACACTGAAGAACAAGTACGAGCGACAGACTGGCTCAGCATTGCCATGCTTGTGGTTACACTACTGAAAAACACAACAGGACCACTGCACCTTCGACTCAAAGTGATAATGCAATACTACCAGAGCAGGCACTTCACGACTGCTCGGTCGTCAGCCGACGGCCCTATACCGATGGACATAGGACCACTGAAAGGAAAAGGGGAAGGAAATTGGAAAGGCAGCAAAGGATAATGGAAAGGAAAAGGCAACTGGAAGGGACAGAAAGGACTGAAAGGCAAAGGAAAATGAAAAACAATGAAAGGCGGCGGAAAAGGACTGAAAGGAAAAGGCAAAGGAGATTATGGAAAGGGCAAAGAAAAGCCACTGGTATGCTGGAACTGTGGACGACAAGGCCTCCAGCAAGCGCCTTTGGCGCCCACTGCATCGGCGCAGGTGACTGTGCAGTGCAAATCTTTGGGCCAGTAAGAGCCAGGTTTCAACACCGTTTGCTCCAACATTCCCCCTGACAACCAGTCGTGCACTATCAGTCATTAAATTGGCAAGCAAGTAGTGCAGTTGCCTTGAAAACGCTACCAGTTCTAAGTCTCCTTCATTGAGAAGGGCTTCAGCTCTGGCCATTCCTTCGTCAGTGATGACAGTTCGCGTCTCACTCTCCACTAATACAGCGTCGAAAGACTTCACTTGCCAGCTCCAGTCTTCCCATTTCTGCAGTGAGCCATCGAACTTCTCTGGTAATGGAAGACAGAACAGTCGGCCTAGACCATCCTTGTCTCTGAATGCAGTCATTTCTGCTCACTGTTCTCATAAGCAGTGCCCTGGCTCCAGTGCCGAGAGCTCTGCTGCCATGAAATATCACAGTAGCCAATTCAGTGACCACACACAAAGTCCATGCAGTGTCGGTTCAGTCTCTCCCTATGCAGTATGCAGTACTATTTGCCGTGCAGTCTTGAGCCATGCAGTTGCATGACAGTTCCTGACGGTAAGCGGGGCGCAGTGGGTACAGTGCTCTTTAACATAAACAAACAAACACACAAGCAAACAAACAAACAAACAAACAAACAACCAAACAAACAAACAATCAATCAATCAATCAGTCAATCAATCAAACAAACAAACAAACAAACAATCAAACACACAAACAAACAAAGACACACACACAAACACACACGCACACAAACAAACAAACAAACAAACAAACAAACAATCAAACAAACAAACACGCAAACAAACAAACAAACAAACAAACAAACAAACAAACAAACAAACAAACAAATAAACACAAAAACACACAAACACACAAAAACACAAACTAACAAGCAAACAAACAAACAATCAACCACACACAAACAATCAAGCAAGCAAGCAAGCAAGCAACCAAAAAAACAATCAAACAAACAAACAAACCAACAAACAAACAAAAACACAAACAAACACACAAACACACAAACACACACAAACACACAAACAAACAACCAAACAGCCAAACAAACAAACAATCAACCACACACAAACAATCAAGCAAGCAAGCAAGCAAGCAAGCAAGCAAGCAAGCAAGCAAGCAATCAATCACACAAACAAACAAACAAACAAACAAAGAAGCAAACAAACAAACAAACAAACAAACAAACAAGCAAGCAAGCAAGCAAGCAAGCAAGCAAGCAAGCAAGCAAGCAAGCAAGCAAGCAAACAAACAAACAAACAGACAATCAAACAAACAAACAAACAAACAAACAATCAAACAATCACATAAACAAACAAACAACCAAAGACACAAACAAGCAAACAAACAATCAAACAAACAAACAAGCAAGCAAGCAAGCAAGCAAGCAAACACACAAACAATCAAACAAACACACAAACAAGCAGGCAAGCAAGCAAACAAACAATCAATCAAACAGACAAACAAACAAGCACACAAACACACAAACAAACAAACAAACAAACAAACAAGCAAGCAAGCAAGCAAGCAAGCAAGCAAGCAAGCAAACAAACAAGCACACAAACAAACAATCAAGCAAGCGAGCAAGCAAGCAAGCAACCAAAGAAACAATCAAACAAACAATCAAACCAACAAACAAACAAAAACACAAACAAACAAACAATCACACAAACACAAACACACAAACAAACAAACAGCCAAACAAACAAACAGTCAACCACACACAAACAATCAAGCAGGCAAGCAAGCAAACAAACAAACAAACAAACAACCAAACAGCCAAACAAACAAGCAATCAACCACACACAAACAATCAAGCAAGCAAGCAAGCAAGCAAGCAAACAAACACACAAACAAACAAACAATCCAACAAACACACACACACAAACAAACAAACAAACAAACAAACAAACAAACAAACACACACAAACAAACCAACCAACCAACCAACCAACAAACAAACAAACAAACAAACAAACAGAAACAAACAAACAAACAAACACAGACAAACAATTACGCAAACAAACAGAAACAATCAAACAAACAAACAGACAAACAAACAAACAAACAAACAAACAATCAATCAAACAAACAAACACACAAACAAACACACACAACCATCCCATCAATTACTGAATCAATCAATCAATCAATCAATCACTCAATCAAACAAGCAAACAAGCAAACAACCAACCACACAAACAAACAAACAAACAAACAATCAAACAAACACACAAACACGCAAACACGCAAACACGCAAACACACAAACACGCAAACAAACAATCAAGCAAACAAACAAACAGACAAGCAAACAAACAAACAAACGAAAAAACAATCAAACAAACAATCAAACAATCAAACAAGCAAACAAACAAACAAACAAACAAACAAACAAACAAACAAACACACAAACAAACAAACAAACAATCAAACAAACAAACAAACAACCAAACAAACAAACAACCAAACAAACACAAACAATCAAACAAACAAACAATCAATCAAACAAACAAACACAAACAATCCATCAACCAATCAATCAATCAATCAATCAATCAAACAAAAAGACAAACACACAAACAAACAATCAAACACACACACAAACACGCAAACACGCAAACACACAAACACAAACAAACAAACAAACAAACAACCAAACAAACAACAAACCAATCAATCAAACAAACAAACACACAAACACACAAACAAACACACACAAACATGCCATCAATTAATGAATCAATCAATCAACCAAACAAGCAAACAAACAAACAAACACACAAACAAACAAACAAACAAACACGCAAACACGCAAGCACGCAAACAAACAAACACGCAAACAAACAAACAAACAATCAATCAATCAATCAATCAAACAAGCAAACACACAAACAAACAATCAAACAATCAATCACACAAACAAACAAACAAACAAACAAACAAACAATCAAACAAACACACAAACAAACAAACAAACAACCACACACACACACAAACAAACAAACAAACAAACAATCAAATAATCAATCAAACAAGCAAACAAAC